TTTGTCGGAAAAATGTGACCAAGACGAAGATAAACTATGTGCTCGATCAAGCATAGTTCTCAGTAAACCCCTTTTGTACTCATTGTCAACATGACTCTGATAGTGCAAGAGTAGACCTGAATTAGTAAGTGTCACATACACCTTTGTCTCTGTTTGAGGCGATCAGTTCAGTAACTGGATACCCAGAAATGGGCAACTGTACCAGCCATAAATAGGGTATCAAATTTTTGATCAGGTCATAAATAGGATTGGGAAAATTGCAGATTTAGGTCATAAATAGGGAAAGGGTTTTATGGGGCGGGTCGCACACCCCCACCCAATTTTTCTGGGAGTACCCCGCGGGTAAAGACCTCATACAGTATGGTGATACTGCCGTAGTAAAGCGATAATGGATATGTTTGACAGAGCTGACAGGGCACAGAGCCGTTGCTATTCATTACTTGAAACCTGACACAGCCATACCCACAAAAGGTTCGTTTCTGCCAGCTTACGGTATTTGCCCTGGTCAATTTATGAGGTCACATAAGAACTGAAATCCCGAACTGTTCCCTTTCGCAGCTAATAATTTAGGCACCGACGCCAACCCCCCGGCCTCNAAAAGATTCGTTTCTGCCAGCTTGCGGTTTTTGCGCTGGTCAATTTATGAGGTCACGTAAGAACTGAATTGCCGTATCCCGCTCATTTTGCATCCCAACCCCATAAAAACACGAAATCCCCCCGGCCTCCAACCCCCCCCCCCCCATCTTTGCAAACATGCAATATGAATGCAGCTCTACAACCAGAGTTTGCGAAGCAATTTAACAAACGCAAACAACTCGTATTAACTTAACATAAATAGGCCATGACCAGTGGCTTTGTTTCGATCATAGACACTATCGAACCTATTGTCTTATAACATGAAGCGATTTCGACTCCGATGGCGTACCTATTCCTTATTAAAAAGTCCCTACTAGCTTATAACAAAAATTACTCATAGCAAATTATCAGTTAGACAGTGCCTCCTGTTTCTTATGATCCCGATCGAACTAAAAATACGGTTAAAAATTAAAATGCATCCGTAGACTGAACACAAACAAGACCTGAGAAGCCAGCACTTGTTAAATTCAAATGATCTTTTACTGCACTGTTAATCCATGAATTCCCAACACTTTTAGCGACGTTTGGCGTCGAATATGTCGAACCAGCGACAA